TGAATTTCCCGCCCAACAAGGTTTAATTTAATACTTTAATGTGTTCGACTGGGGGGAACTCGAAAACTGAAACGAGGCCCGCCCAAAATCCCATTTTTTCCCGCTGAAACAAATCACAAAATCGAGTTTCCCACTCCTTCGCTATGGCGCCAAAATCCCACGTTTTCGATTTTTGGGATTTACAAGAAGGGCTCCGTCCATTGTTTTCGTCCCCGCCCCACCTCCCTCCCAGTCCTCACTCTTCACTCCCCTCTTCTTTTCCTTTCTATCTCTGTTTTCTCTCGGAAGCTAAACAGAAGCCGAAGACAGACGCAAATCGCCCCCAGTTTACAGAAGAAGGATGGCGGCAAAATCGGTGACTCAAGATGCCATCCCCACTTTGCTCTCCAACCCTACGCCCGACTCAGCTTCTGATCTCCCTGAGATCATCGTTCAAGTCACCAATCTCCAGCCTAAAGGCAGAGCCTATGGGTCCGTCTCTTGATCGCCTTTCCCCCTTCTTTTTAGTTCTTATTTCTGTGTTGTTTTCAGTGAGATCTCAAAAACCCGTTCTAGGGTTCTCTATTAGACCCGTAGAGGTTTTAAGTTCGATGTTTTCCCCTTTTCCTATAAATCTCAGCTGTCATTTTCAGATAGTGAACACCTGTATAGATTAGGCCAGTGAAACCTACGATTCAACAATGACCATACAATCTTATGGTTCTTATGGCTTTTATTCGAAAGCATTCTGATTTGGATTGCGTTAATTTGCTTGCAGTTTTGATGCTAACGATGGAAAGATGAAGCTGAAGGCTCTCTTCAACTCCCGCTTTTCGTCCGAGATCATTTCCGGAAGCGTTCAGAATCTGGGTCTCATTCGGATTCTCGATTACACCATCAACGAGATCCCAACCAAAGCTGAGAAGTGAGTCAATAGTTGGCACTCATTTGTCTCTACCTAGGGTTTGATTTTAATGTTCAACGTTTTGAGAGCTAATTTTGATTCTGGGTCTTGCTCTTGATTTTACGCGCAGATACATGATTGTAGTAAAATGCGAGGTTGTTTCTCCGGCGCTAGAGAAGGAAATTAGTGATGGCCCCAAAAATGAAGATGCAGGGATTGTACTGAAGCCGGGGATAGAGAACGAAGTGAAAAGTGAAGCAATGAAGATAGATTTTAAGCCCAAACAAGGGACTGTTACCAAATCAGCTATTCAAATCGTTCATGAGCAGAGGGGAAAGTGAGTTCTCTTAGCTTTTGATTTCTCAGTTCTGTTTAACTGATGTAGTATACTATATTTATGTCTTCTATGTATATGTATTGTGGTTGCAGTATGGCTCCTAGCGCTCGAATGGCTATGACTCGAAGGGTTCACCCTCTTGTCTCTTTGAATCCTTACCAAGGTAACTGGACCATCAAGGTCAGGGTAACCAGCAAGGGTAATATGCGCACGTATAAGAATATGAGAGGTGAAGGGTGTGTTTTCAATGTGGAGCTGACTGATGAAGATGTAAGTTGAGGGGATGACACTATGTTATGTGGCTGTTTGGTTTAAGTCCTATTGGTGTGGGTTTAACTAAGGAGCTTTATCTACTACAGGGTACCCAAATACAAGCGACCATGTTCAATGAAGCTGCAAAAAAGTTCTATGACAGGTTCCAGCTGGGAAAAGTTTATTACATATCTAAAGGGTCTCTCAGAGTTGCTAACAAGCAGTATAAGACTGTTGAAAATGACTATGAGATGACTTTGAATGATAACTCTGAGGTTGAAGAGGTCACTAGTGAAGCAACTATGATCCCCGAGACAAAGTTCAATTTCGTTCCAATTGATCACCTGGGTCCCTATGTTAACTCCAAAGATCTTGTTGGTGAGTATACTTTCTCCTCTTGATGGAAAAACTTTATGATAGCAAGCTTTGTTGTGCTATTTTTTTTTTTTTACTAACTTACCACTGCAATATCAATTTCTCAGATATCATTGGGGTGGTTCAAAGTGTGTCCCCTACATTGAGTATTAGAAGGAAAAGTGACAACGAGCCTATCCCAAAGCGTGATGTTACCATTGCAGATGCGAGGTCAGAATTCTTTTGCTCAACTCGTGTTGCATATATTTTCTTCTTTGGTGGAGGTGTGGTACTCAAACTATGGTTTGATCAAATTGTAGTAAGAAGACTGTTGTTGTATCGTTGTGGAATGACCTTGCTACTGGTGCTGGTCAAGAGTTGCTTGACATGGCTGATAAGTCCCCTGTAGTTGCTATCAAAGCTCTCAGAGTTGGTGACTTTCAAGGTAATTGGTGGTATAATTTCATATATTACAGGAAGCTGCATTGATTTTTGGTTTAATGCAAGGGAAAAGTGATCTTCACGTTTAATGACTTTTTATCTGCCATTTCAGGTATATCTTTGTCCACAGTGGGGAAAAGCATGCTGCAGATCAACCCTGAAACTCCAGAATCAAAGAAATTGAGATCATGGTAAAGAGTACTATGCATCACTTGCTCAGCTTTAGCACACGGTCTCTGTTGGGTATTGCTTACTGTGGGTTTGACTTTCCTTTGAGTAGGTACGAGTCTGATGGAAAAGATAGCTCAATGGCACCAATTGGCTCTGGATTGAGCCCTACTATGAAGAATGGAGGACGGTCCATGTACACTGACCGTGTCCCACTTACTCGTATAACAAGCGATCCATCATTAGGCGGTGATAAGGTATAAATACCCACACAACTTCTGCACATTTGCTCCTTGGAGAACTTAAAAGGCAGGGTTGATTTCTTTGAATGCCATCTGAGAAATAATATCTTGGAGCTCATCTTGTTTTGCAGCCTGCATTTTTCAACATCAGAGGCTATGTAAGCTTTATAAAGCCTGACCAGACAATGTGGTACCGGGCTTGCAAGACTTGCAACAAGAAAGTGACTGATGCCATCGGTGGTGGGTACTGGTGTGAAGGATGCCAGAAGAATGATTCTGAGTGCAGCTTAAGGTCAGCTTGGCATTCCCCGTTCCTTCGGAAAGACCTAGAATGCATCAAGTTTGGTTCTCCCTTTTTGACTTATCATTGACATTGCAATACATCCATTGCAGGTATATATTGATAGTGAAGGTATCTGATGCAAGTGGTGAAGGATGGGTTTCTGCCTTCAATGACGAAGCAGAGAAGATACTAGGTTGCTCTGCCGATGAACTTGATCAATTGAGATCACAGGTACGCAGTTAAATCCCTCAGGGGAAAAAAAAGAAGATAGCTTTTGAACAAAAGTTGCGAGGGTATGGCTTCTGATCTTTGCTTTTGGCTACAAATTCTATGCTGGCAGGATGATGGGAGTTCATACCAATCAAAGCTGAAAGCAGCCACGTGGAATCCGCATTTATTTAGGGTCAGCGTCACCCAAAACGAGTACAACCATGAGAAGAGGCAAAGGATCACAGTTAGGGCGGCAAGCTCAGTTGATTTTGCTGCTGAATCCAAATTTTTACTGGAAGAGATCTCAAAGATTAAAGGGACTCAGTAAGGGCAGGGATCAGTTTTCGATCTTTTGGCCTCTTGCTGGATGGTGATGCCGTGCTTGCTTAGATAGGAGGAAATCATTGTCACAAAACTTCATTTTGTATCTTGTATAAGATACCTTTTTTCAGCAGTAGGATGGCAGTTGTTGGTTAACTAGGTTAGTCCTTAGGGTTGGTTGGTTCTGCCTTGTCTGTAAAGTCTCAGTTAATTGTTAGTTCACTTGGATAATTCTGAAGTGAATTCCCGTTCAGTTATATCTCTTAATATATGATATCATTCCAAACTAAAACTTAGTGTGCTGAATGGTCTCCAGACTCCAATGGTGATCAGGTTTCCAGTGCATGGATTAGGTAAAGTTTAGTAGTAAGAGGGCTTTCCTCGTCTGTCTTTCACTACTCAAAGGACCAGATTAAAGAAACCTAAGGGAAGATGATGCTTTCTCTATGATCTCTCTGCATACATTGCAGACTCTTCATTTCTCAGTTTTTGCACAACGAACGTATTATTAGTCTCCACTTCTCTAGGTCGAAAGTTGTAGTTCATCGCCACCTCTAGCTTAAATTTTACCGTAATTTCTAGACCTGATTCTAACTCTATCCATCGGATTAAAATGTGCTTGGAGTAAGTCATGTCTCCAATCTCCATAATCTTGAATCATGATGATTAATCAGCTCTGAAACCCTTATAAGTGGGTTGTCTATAATTGGATTTTCCTTCTGTCATGAATTCTCTTCATCCATTAATCATTTGTCCTCTAGATCCATTGCCCACTTTCCATTTTGTACATGATTTTTTCTTCTTTTTTGATGAATCATTTTGTACATGATATAACTGCCATGATACTTTTCCAAGCATAAGTGGGGTTATAACCTTCCTATGCTGCCATGATTCTTAATCAGGTTCCAAACTTGCTTACCAAAACAAAGCCAGATTGAAACCTTCCATTTCCGTAAATCCCATTCCTCTCTTTTTTTTTTTGGTCGACAAAGCTCCTTCCGGTGGATTCTTTTCTCTTGTTGTTTCTATTCCCTCAAAAAATCAGATAAAGCACTCTGAATTTTCACGTAAACTTGTTTAACTCATGGTCCATTAAACCATACCCTACCGGCGGTTCAACCACAAAATACCAGTATCGGAGACTAACCCGATAGGCGGTATTTAAGGTATTAACGGTTGAACTACGGTTCAACCATGATTTTACCGTAAAATACCCTACTACTAACTTTCCCGTATGGTGTCCGATACAGTTTCATGGACCATGCTTTAACTACAGATGAGTTGGATAGAATCGGTGACACATCACATGTTGCTCTAATTTTGAATTGGTTTGTTCACGTCAATGCATCATTAATGGCCCACAGTGGACCGGCCAACTTAACTCCCAAGCCCAACCCAGTTCTCTTCGTTCGTTTCGAGCCCAGTCCAGGCAGCCGCCGAGGCCTTAAACAAAGGTAAGGGGGAAATCCGGAAAAATCGGCGAAAAAATATCTCCAAGACGGGCTTATAGACCATATAATCTTCCTTTCCTTCAGAGGGAGCGGCGAAATCTCCTTTTCATTTTCCAGCTGCTGTAGCTTATCCGCTCGCAGCCATCGTCTCCCTCTCCGACTCCCTAACCTAAAACACCATCCCATTCGCCTCTTGCCCTTTCCACGACTAGGCGAAGCATTTGAAGTTGTTGGGGAGGAGAAATGGCTGCTTCTTCTGGTATTGGCGTTACTTCTTCTATGTTCCATGCACCATCTATCGAGCTCGCTACCAGAAGGGCAACAACTCCCACTATCACATCCTCTTGCCTCTTCCCCCTTACAATTCCGGATAAGCCTTGCTTCCTCACTTCTTCTATATCCAGCGGTCGTGGAAGTGGAGTTGGGAGACTTACACTTCTTATGGTGGAGGGAGGTTCCCGCAGGCACACTACGGTTCCTTCCGCCATTGCTTCTCCCAATAATTCCCTTCTCAGTGAGCAGGCCTTCAAGGGCCTTGGTGGCATCTCCGATTTCGATGGTGTCGATAGTGATGAAGATGACTTGCCGGATGACACAGTCCTTGCAGCTGATGATACTGACGAGCTTGCGCTTACCAAGCTGGGTTTGCCTGCGCGTCTGGTTGACGCTCTGGAGAAGCGTGGAATTACTCACCTTTTCCCTGTTCAGGTATGTGGTTAATTGTTTAGTGAAATGTGTTTCAAACTTTTTATTGTTACTTGGAAGGAGGAAGTCACTCCAACTAACCCATGGGAAATTACTGGTGTGTATCATCTGTAGGTGGCGGTTGAAGCTTCTTTTTTTATCTAATGCTACACTAATACATTTGTTGGGTTTTTGTTTTTGGTTGAATACTTCAATTCCCATTTGAAAGGCGAGCTTATGATGTTGTTTTCTATGTAATGGTGCAGAGAGCTGTTCTGGTTCCGGCTCTAGAAGGTCGAGATATCATTGCTCGTGCTAAGACCGGGACTGGGAAGACTTTGGCATTCGGCATTCCAATAATTAAGCTCCTCACTGAAGACACTGAACTAAGAGGCCAACAACGGTGAGTGTTGTGTTTCTCTTCTTTTCTTAAATAGGCGACGTTGGCCCCAAAGTTGTCAGCTACGTTGAGTCACATGTTTATATGCTTATGTTCTGTACCTTGTATGGTGTTTCCCCAGGCGAACTGGCCGGCTTCCACGAGTTTTGGTCTTAGCACCTACACGAGAGTTAGCAAAGCAAGTAGAGAAAGAAATTAAAGAGTCTGCACCTTACCTTAGCACTGTGTGTGTTTATGGAGGTGTTTCATATGTGACACAACAAAGTGCTCTTACCCGTGGAGTAGATGTTGTGGTTGGGACTCCAGGTCGAATCATTGATCTCATTAAAGGAAACAGCCTGAAACTGGGGGAGGTTCAGTACTTGGTTCTTGATGAAGCTGATCAAATGCTTTCGTTTGGATTTGAGGAGGATGTGGAGTTGATCTTGGAAAACCTTCCAACAAAGCGGCAGAGCATGCTTTTCTCTGCAACTATGCCAATTTGGGTCAAGAAATTGGCCAGGAAATATCTGGATGATCCTTTGCAAATTGATCTGGTAATCCTTTTGGTATCTTTTAACTTTTGTCTAATCCTATGTTTATTAAGTCGCTCATTTGACTGTCTGAAGGAAGTGCCCTTTATAACAGTTGGATTGAAAATTGGGTTACTTGGTTGATATGAGAACATATCAGATTGACCAACATAATCGATTAAGTGCTCAGTCTTTTTGGTCCATTTCTTGTGGACGATGTGGAGCCATTTTTTATATAGAATTTTATGTTTGGAATGCACAATAGGCTCATCGGTAATAGTTTTGTTTGGTGAGCATGGATAATATTAATGACCTAACTAATTTCATATTATTTCTTTTATGAAGGTTGGTGATCAGGAAGAAAAGCTTGCTGAAGGAATCAAGCTTTATGCCATATCTACTACCTCCACTTCAAAACGCAGCATGCTCAGTGATCTTGTAACTGTATGAATTATTGCTCCCTAACTCCATGCCTCTCATCTAGTTACTGATCATATTTGAAATTTTAGATTGCATCTAGCTCTTACTGTTGAAGTTTATTGTTTTCCAATTAATATTAGGAGTAGTCATTGTTCTCCCTATATATATTTGCAGTTACTAAATTTGATCCCAATGTTCAGGTTTATGCAAAAGGAGGGAAAACTATAGTCTTCACTCAAACTAAGAGAGACGCCGATGAAGTCTCCATTTCATTGTCAAATAGCATAGCTTCGGAGGCTCTGCACGGAGATATATCCCAGCATCAAAGGGAGAGAACATTGAATGGTTTCCGTCAAGGCAAATTCACCGTGCTTGTAGCTACAGATGTTGCTTCTCGTGGGCTTGACATTCCGAATGTCGATCTGGTATGGAGTTTTTTTTGCTCTGTTAGATGAATTTTCTATCCTTTGAACAACAATAAATAATATTATATATTTCTGGGCCTAGTATAAGTGCCAGTAGCTTGTGGACATCTGCAGCATCATGGTTGAGTTGGAAGTATGGACCTAAAGGCTAGTAGTAGCCACTGCGATGTGCATATATTGTTCATTGTCTAGCAATGTTTAATTGATCAGATGCGACTTGCTGGTATTTCTTACTGCCCTGCTAGTCAGAAGACAACACTGATGGAAATGTTTTGCATTTCTCTAGGTTATTCACTATGAGCTTCCAAATGATTCGGAGACTTTTGTGCATCGTTCTGGTCGTACTGGGCGTGCAGGGAAGCTAGGAACTACCATTTTGCTGTTCTCCAACAGTCAAAGGAGATCCGTTAGATCTATCGAGCGTGATGTTGGATGCAGGTTTGAGTTTGTTGGCTCACCAGGGATTCAAGAGGTTCTAGAATCATCAGCAGAGCATGTGGTTGCTACTCTACGTGGAGTTCATCCCGAATCTGCAGAATGTTTTATGCAAACTGCCGAAAAACTGTTAGAAGAACAAGGAACAAAGGCCCTTGCTTCGGCTCTGGCACATTTGAGTGGTTTCACGCAGCCTCCGTCATCTAGATCTCTTATTAACCACGAGAAGGTGAGCAAATAGCTTTATATTTCCACACCAATTACAAGATTCCATGCTAGGGTTGGGACTGGGAACAATGATCTTCTGCAATTTGTTCTTGTTTGGTTTCTGCGGGAATGGTTTTGCAATTGCAAAATATTCTCTGCTCTCTCTTTTCTGCTTTTCCAGAGACTAGTATGAGTTTTCATACTGATGTGATTTTGAGGAACGTGAATATTTTGCTCTAGCAAGTGTTGTGTGATTGCTAGTGTGTAGGCATCCTCAGGCACACCTATGTCATCCCACACTCGTACGTGCTTGATTGTGGGAACAATTTGAATGGTTACTTGATGACTGTAGTCTGTATGTCATGTTTAGAAACAGTGTTGTTCCCCTCAGAGATGAGCCTTCATTTGAATGGAACTTGTGAGAGGCTAGCGGAGAAAAGTGTCAGGGGCATCTGGTTATGTTGCTAAGTCGAGTTGTTCACTTAGGTTCCCTGCTTAAGTATTCGTCATCTGGTTATGTTATATACTGTTATATGTTTTGGTTTTGGAATTTATGGTACTAACCTATAGTACCTTGAATGAGCTGTTCTGTTTGCATTATGGTACTAAGCTGCGGTTATTGGATTTTGAAACCTTTCTCGCAGGGCTCTGTGACATTGCAATTGACTAGGGATCCGAATTATGCTAGAGGGTTCCTTTCACCTAGGTCGGTGACTGGTTTCCTCTCAGATGTATATCCTACAGCAGCAGATGAAGTTGGAAAAATATATGTAATTGCCGATGAAAAGGTGCGTTAGTTTAGCCACTGCGAAGTCCTTTCACGCACCTTTCACTTTAGTTGGCTTAAAACAAGTAATTGCGTTCTATGTTAAGGTTCAAGGAGCAGTGTTTGATCTGCCCGAGGAGATAGCAAAAGAGTTGCTGAAAATGCAATTGCCTCCTGGAAACGTTATTTCCAAGATCACCAAGGTAGTTATGATTCTGGTCACAGTTTTGGCAACTTTCTGGTTGTAATTTGTTTTGGTGGCACTCTAGTGGCAATGGTCTTGATGTGTGCTGATTCCTAGGATACTTTGTATTCTTTGGCCAATTTCTTTTGCAGTTGCCTGCGTTGCAAGATGATGGACCAGTTGGAGATAATTATGGCCGGTTTTCTAGCAGGGATCGCTCCACTAGGGGGGGTTCGAGAGGCCAGAGGAGCTTTAGACCCCCGCAGCGTGGTGCTGGTCGAGATTTCGATGATGATGATTTTGGTAGGCGTGGCGGTCGAAGCCAATCGAGGAGCAGTGGCAGCAGTTGGGGGATGGGTGGAAGGAGGTCGAGCTCGGAATCATCAAATAGAGACAGGTACGTCTACACATGAGAGCAGAGATTATTACCTTCTACGTTTTTGGCAGAAGAGTATGCATCGTTGATATCACCAATTGCATTAGCCTTTGCGATATATGCTTTTCTCATTTACTTGTTAATCGAGGAGCAGTGGCAGCAGTTGGGGGATGGGTGGAAGGAGGTCGAGCTCGGAATCATCAAATAGAGACAGGTACGTCTACACATGATAGCATAGATTATTACCTTCTACGTTTTCGGCAGAAGAGTATGCATAGTTGATATCACCAATTGCATTAGCCTTTGCGATATATGCTTTTCTAATTTACTTGTTAATTGTGAATCACACCAAACAACGTCAAATGGTACTCAAACAACTGTGGACTACTTTAGAGGAACTGAATGGTTGTTCTTTCCCATGGCTGTGAGGGTACTTTGTTGGTGAAGTGTAGGAGTTGAGATAGTTTAGTAACATTGTGTTTTTGACAAATATTAATTGACTTCTTTATTTGGGTTTTGCTGGTAATCTTGCCGGCTTTGTTTCGTGCACAATTTGATCAATTATGTGTATTGACAATTACTGTAAAATGTCTTGTATTCCAGATCGTTCGGAGGTTCATGTTTCAGCTGTGGGCAATCTGGACATAGAGCTTCGGAGTGCCCCAGCAGGGGAGGGTATTAGAAGTATATACGACCAGGTGCTTCGGCCATGCGAACAACAACGAAGTGGCAGCTGATGGGAAATCTTGGTTGTCTCGGCCGTATATGGAATATTTATGGCACGATGTGGTTCACTACAGGAATGAATACTGGATACCTGGGACCGAATAGGCTTGTAGCTTATGTTTTCTAGAATCTAGATATAGGTTGGGAATGGCTCTAAAAGATGGGGGGAAACGAGAGTTCAATAGAATGTATCGCCATTTTCGTTTCACCATATCCGGGTATGTAAAATGTACTATTTATTGACTAGCAGTACGAAACAGGCAATGTGCGATCAGCCCCCCAAATTGCATGTTATTAGTGCATTATTTTCTCTGGTCCATAAGTTGCCCTGGATATCAGTGCTATCATTTTCCACCTAGCATTCTGTTGATTCAGTAAACAAAACAAGGCAGGGCCTCCGTCTCAGTTATCCCTAAGATTGGATACAGTTTTGGTCTTCGATGTGTGACAGTTTGATCTTATGCTGCTCAAATCGTCTCGGCATAAGTTGCTCGTACAACAGGATGGATTTCGATTAGGTTCATAAGTAGACGAGGTTGACCATTGCTGAAGCTCAGCTGCAATGCATTTGCGATATGCAAGGGTGGAAGCTTCATGTGTGGCTTGGTGCTATTGCATTATTAGGTCGATGGGGCCTGTTATCGCCGCAGCATATTGGAAGCTCAAAACAAATACTAAAAAGGGGTTGGTTTTGATAGCTGAAGCTATTTGATTCACTTGAACATTCCAACTTGACTGACTACTTAAAAAACAGGGAAACAGCAAGGAATACTTCATGACTCGAGCGATACCGCGTTAACAAACAGGGATCTGGACAGGTGAGAAAATATACCGCCTCATGATCAGCAAACAAATGATTTTTTCAGAAAAAGTGTTCATCCGTTCTGACTCCATCCCATCCCATGTTACACTATACCAATCAATCAACCAAACAGAGATCGAGACATCTTCGAAGTACAACAGCATTAATCCTAAACAGTCAAGGCCACACCGTCGTATAAGCAACACTATGTCAAAAAAATCGGCGACACCATAACAAGAGAAAACGTACGTACAACGGTGCTGGATAGGGAACACCGCTCTAGTCATGAAAATGGAATAATGCCCCGTTTGATTGACATCACATCAACTCCTAATTTGAGCACCAGAAACACACCTTATAGCATCACTGCTGCCTGCCTCTCCCAAGATTGCACCCCCAACTTCTTGGCTCAGTCTCTGTATAAAGATGCTCCAAAGTTTCTACCAACACTAACTTACTAAAGCTAAGTTTCTCGAGATGGAGTCAGATGCTCACTATGGCAGACGTGAAGAATCTGGATCTAACAGTTCAAAACCCTCAACTCATAACAGTTGAAGATTTCTAGTCTAGATATCTTACAGCAGCTTGTATTCTTCCGTCTAGATATACTTCAATCCTGAGATGTATTGCTGTCTTGAGACTACAGACTGTGCTATTGTATAAATTATCCCCAGAACCCCCAATATCTTGATCTTCATCACATCTGCTATTATTATGGATGGCAGGTTGAGAGGAAGGGTGATTAGAGGCGTGGTGTCAGCCTGTTTTGTGAAACTCCACACAAAACGGTTAAAGAGGATATGGCTAGGGAATGTGAGTATGAGAAGTGCCAAGTTTTTAACGGCAAAGAACCAATCAGGACCACCGATTTCGATGCTCCATCCACCATTCCCATGCCATACATCTTCCCAGATGCTGAATAGTGTGGTCAATACCAAATAGCCAGATATGGCGACTGTAACAGGGAAGTACCTTTGTTTGTCTCCAAATCCAGCAACAAAATCCGAGTCCTGATTGAGAAGCAGCAAAATGGGAGCCAAGAAGAATATAGCTTGGTTCGATCCCCCTGTCAGATTGACGTTCAAGATCAGGCATATCGCAAAGCACATTACAGTAGCCACATTGCCTACTGCTGGCATCCATGCACCCTCAGCAGCCATCCTTTTGATGGTGAAGGCTGGCACCGTGGACACCCGGCGCTGCTGCATGAACCTCATTCTTGGGGCAAAACCAGAACTGCTTTGGCTAGATTGACTATGTCGAATTCCGCCCCTTTCAACTGACTTCTCCCGCATAAGTGAGGCGAGTTCAAATTTTATCTCCAAAGCTATTAGCATGAAGATTGCTGCATACAAGCCGAGCAAAGACGTTCTGGCCCCTTCGACAGCCAGCAAAGTGGTGAGCCTCCTGTCTTCCTCTCCCAAATCTACACTATCTCCAAGAATGGTGTTAATTCTTACCTGACCCTCCAGCAGGTAAGTTACAGGGAAGAGAGCTACAAGCGAAGCAAACACCCAGGGTAGTAGCTTTGTGCTTGAAGCAGATGGGATGTGAGTGAAAACCACAAAGACAGAGGTGCAGACCATTGTGACAACAATAAGCACATGCAGAACTGCAGCTTGAAGAAAGTACTCGGCTGATATGTATACACCTAGTGCAATTCCCATTGCTATCGAATAGAATGCTCTCAACTCTACAATGTACCCGATAGGTATGAAAGATGTCACAGATGCCAATGTAAGCAAGATTGCTAAGATAAGCAGCCATGAAGGCCAGGTAGGCTTTGATGCAACGAAACCATAGATAGTGACATCATCAGAAGATTGACGAGCTGCTTTTATCATATCCGATCGGTAAGTCCATGCCATTGGGATTGGTGGCTGCATTAAGATAAATAATACACCAGTTGCCACCACAAGCACTAGGCATCTCTTGGCAGACTGCAAAAGATGAAAAAATAGAAAGCAGATTATTTAGTAACATGACCAACCAAGAACAAAAATTTCTTAACAGGACATTGCAGTAAAAAACCGCAATCATCACCACTCGAACTCACAGCAAATGCTTACTATCATTCAGAACCTTCATTTACTTAAACATCAGTTGCATACTTAAGCCTTAATGTACATGCCAAGATTAGAGGCTGTCCCACATGAAGCATATTTATAAGGTCTTCTAAGTTCAGTATGTGACATCAGTTTATTGCTAGACTAACCAGTAATTTAATCATATCAAGCATGCATATCAAAATCATCTACTTATACATAACCCTACTTTATAAGGTACATGCCAAAGTTACTCTGACCAGCAGAGAGCAAATTTATATAGGTCTTGAAAATTATGATTATTCGCCATTATGCCATCAGTTTATTGCTAGACAAATTAGTAATTTCATCATATCAAGCATACATGGTCAAAATCATCGAGCCGGTAGAAATAACATTCAAGGTGGATCTCTAGGTTCTGCTGTGAGTGTTGTTTCTTATATTTAATCAAATGAATATCACACAACTGAAAAATTGACAGCAGAAATCCGAAGAAACACGAACCAGGACATGAGAGAAGTGAAGAGCAACAATTGGGAGACAAGCCAATCCTGTCAAAACAATGCAGAAGCCCAGAAGCAAACCATCTGATGGAGATTTCCCCTGCCACCATTGGAGGGCTTCAAAAATTGTTTCACGGCAGAACCACACTGATAGAGCAACCACACTAGCATGAGCATAACCTTGCCATGGTTTCATCTTGGAGGACATCCGGGTCTTATCCCTGGAAAATGATTCAGCAGAAATGTACTGTGAATGTGTGATAGAAGAAAATGATGATCAAAACTAGTCAATATACATAAGAAAGATAAGTGTTAAGAAGATGAAACGGAAAGTACTTGTAAAGGAGCATGGGAGGAGTAACAGCAAGTAGAAGTATGGCTGAAACCCATACAACTGACTTTGATGATATGAACATCATGGCTAACTTTGAAGAATACAGGCAAGTCAAAATCCAAACTGCCTTTGGCCCAATTCGTTGGTCAACAGATAACCTCCTTACTAAAGCCAATCCCACAAGTGTTGTGATAATAACCATGTAGCTTGGGTACATCACATCATCCTCCAGTCCATAGTAGTATATACCAGAGTAATTGAAAAATCTGTTCTCGATGTAGCACAGCAGCAATGCATGGCAGGTTAAACCCATCTCAGCAAGAAAATGAAGTTTTTGAGGGAGAAGGGCTAACCCAGGAACAGCCATGGCAAGCACAACATTAGCGACAATCAGTTTACAAAAAGATTTTAAGGCCATGCCAGCCAACCATATGTTCAGGTCCCAGAAGTTATGCATCACAAACCATGCAACCATCAAGCTCCCAAGAACAACAAAGGCGAAGTATGATGGCAGGCTCTTCTTTGTGAAAAACCGAGCTAGATAAAAGCCCGTAACTGATGGCAAAGGAAGGAACTGCAGAAGTAAAAGCAGAATGAGACCAATAGTTGCAGACATTTATTTCAGACTATGCTTGCTTAAGACGACAGACAATAATACACCAACAAGCGTAATAAATAAGATATCTGATGAAGCTGACATTGGACAAAACACAAGTGACATCAGTCTCCTACACAATATTATAAAACAAACAACATGGTTCAGGTCTACGTTATAATTGGAGTACCAAAATAGCAATTCCCCTACAGAAAAGCATCATAAGGTCTCAAGACCAGACATTTCAGTGAAGAATTGTTTCCTAACAATATGATACAAGTGGAGTATCCGTATGGCTCGACAAAGAAACATCTTCCACGGATTCTCTACATCAGAGCAAAAGATTGATTTTAAATCCGTTTCTCTTACGCATCATGCCATCTCCTGAAGAGGGACTATCCTAGATTTTTTAACAAAAGTTGCACAAACAACAATTGGTGGACTAGAAGAGATATTAAATGTCAATAAGACACTGGCACCACCTAGTTCAGCAGTTGAAGTAAGTTAAGGAAGGAAAAAAGAGTACCAGTATGGGGAACCCGACAACAATTGCTCCAGCAGCACTAACAATTACGGCCAGAGAAGTGAAAACCAAGGAGCTAAAAGCATCGGAAACCATGCCCAAAGCATAGGCACCAGCACCAGCTGCTCCTCCAAGCATCGTTGTGGTGACAAGAAGATAATTCAAAGGAGGCGGGACCTGAATGTAGCGGCCAAAGGAATGGAAAACAACTCTGACTTCCAATGCAATGATAACCAGGACCAGAGCGAGAGCGCCATTGACAACGCGAATGCTGTGCAGCTGTTGCGGGCTTTTAGTAACCCACCGAAGTGCTCCCCTGGTGGAGGCGTAGAGTTGGAGCAGGAAGGGAATGAAGAAGAGCAGGATCAAATCGCAGACCGAAGCAGCCGATGAAAACATGACCGAGTAATGGGAGGCAACATGAAACATGAGAGGGAAGAAGAGCAAGTATAGAGTAAGGAAGCAGCTCTCGAGAGGGCAGAGAATGAAGGTGTCATCGGGAACCTCGCCACCGTGATACTTGATCTCCTGCTTGGCCTTGAAGGACGAAACGCGCGGGATGGCGAAGAGCCAGTAGAAGACGCAGTTGAAGACCATGAGATAGTACGAGGCGTTGTTCATACCGACGGCGGAGATGGTGGCCCAAGCGAAGATGGAGGAAGCAGTGAACGGAATGCAGGCAAACAAGAGCCGCTCGAGCGCGAGGACGATGCTAGGGTTCTCGAGCTGGATCCACTTGAACTGGAGAGAGGCCCAGACGCCGATGAGGAAATTGGCCTGCGCGCAGAGGAAGGAGGCGAGGAGCCCGAGGGGCACGGAGCTGAGGGCGGAGATGAGGGAGGAGGTGAAGAAGAAAGCAATCTGAGAGGCGATCAGAGAGAGCCATACTCCGAAGAAGGCGGCGGACTTGAGGTCGAGGGAATCGAGGATGTAGGAGAGCATGAGGCCTAGGGTGAGGGTAGCAACGACGGGGGCGCCGCCGAGATCGAGGAGGAAGGCGGCGCAGGGGACGAGAGCAATGGCGATTCTGGCGTTGTGGGAGAAGGATGAAGGGGAGAATCGGGATCTTGAGGCGGCGGAGGAAGACTGCGCGCCGGCAGGGTAGTGAGAGTTGGAGCCGCCGGTCGCGGTGGCGGATTGTTCGGGGGAGTAGGAACGGCCATCGTCGTTGAAGGAGGAGAAAGATGGGGCGCTGAGGGAGGAGGCTATGTAGGGGCGGAAGGATCGGGGCTGGAGCTCCGGCGATATCATTTTCGGCGGAGCGGAGAATTTCAATTCTGGGGAAGAAGATGAAATTGAAGGATGGAGTAGGGACAAATAGCAATCACCGAATCACAACTTCATAGGAGAGGGTTTTTGCTACCGAGCGACGGATTGTTGTGGAATTCGAGACTCGAGAGGCAGCACCCCACGGTTACTGCATTTTAGTTTTAGGGTAGTATTTTTTTTTTCACCTCTAGATACTCCAAAAAGATACTTTTAACACTCTCGTTTGGAAAGATGTAAAATTGAAAATAATTGCAAATCTGAGGGGTAAACACAATTTTCAACATATTTGTATTTACTAGTTTTGACCCGTCTGTTGCTAGTCGAAGGGAATTTAAAAAAAAAGTATGGGGAGTTCTCTCCCCTCTCTCCTTCGCCTTGTGCCATGGATCGGCCAACTCCTTATCACCATGATGATCTCGATCTTTTTGGCCTGTCTGCGCAATCAACAACAGTCGCAACGCCAGAAATCAAAGAATCCTCTTATTTCATCGGATCTGGAAGAGATGGGAAACCAGTAAAGAAGATTGACCCACGATCCCTCACCGAACGCAGAAGGAGCGCGTATTCCTATGGGCGATTGTCCATTGAAGATCGAAGAACGATTCAAAGAATCGATAACCATAAAGGTAAACGAAAGCTTGGGCATGTCCCGGCTGAAAGCAATATGGTGATTGCGAAGCGTCGACGTTACGCACGCATTCTCGCCTGGTCTTTTAAGATCCCTACGTTGGAGGAATTGGAATTAGAGGAGCTGGTATTCAATAAAACCATCATGGTTGCCAATGATAAAATGGTAATCGGGAATGCCTCTCCTCCATCAGTGTTTGAGGATTTGGAGGTGGAGGAGCTGGTGTTCAATAGAACCAACATGGTTGCCAATGATAAAATGGCGTCCGGGAATGCCTCTCCTCCACCGGAGGCGGCAGCTCACTCCGATTCTAGTCTGCCTAGCGAACTTAACCGGTAGCCGGAGATTGTTGTTCTCGCCAGCGGCCGCCTCTCTGTCGTCGATGACTGCTGGGTCCAAAATTCCCCCATTCGACGGATGGCTGTTAGGCATGGATCTCCTCCAGATTTAGTCTCCGGGATTGAGGGGATTTTTAAAAATAATTATCAAACACCCTTTTCTTGGCATCAGAGTTCTAGTCCGATGAGACTTCTGCTTCCTCGAAACCGTGTGGGGATGGGAAACCCTATTGGCGAACAGACCTGGCCATTATTTAAGACACTCGGATCTGGCTCTCTTAATTGGGTTTTAACTTCTACTCGACCTAAGGGAAGCTTACGAGTAGTTCCAGCCACGGTCAATCCCAAGCTCCCGTCCCACGCAGGTACTATCACGAACTATCCTCTTCTCCCTCGATCCTTTAGACTATTTGCCAGCCCTCCTTTGCGCTCCAATTATATGGACTCGCGTGGTCTAAGGGCGAGTGGCTTGGCTACTACCCAAAGTCAAGAGCACGTAGCATGCATGGGTGTAATATGTCCACAGATTATTGGGGGTATTGAGTTGATTCTTAACACAAAGGAACCTATTTTGCAGGTTCAAGAAATGGCGCACGTTAATTCGGATCAGGTGGTACAATTTTCTATGGAAGAGGTACAATCGACTAAGTATCGTGCCTCCCACTCGTTGCTTGGTCGAGTCTTCACTTCTAATAGAATTTCCACTACGGAATTGAGGGAAGGTGTGCTCACGCCTTGGCTAATCCAAGGACGTCTCAGGCTGGTCTTGGCTAAGCATGGATTGGTCGAGTTCATGCTCCCTAGCGAAGAGGCTCGGATCTGGGTGCTCAAGCATACCCCATGGGTCATCAATGATCAAATCATTCACCTCCGCCCATGGACACCAGTGATCACCAAACAAATTTTTGAAGACCTCGCAGTTGTCCCATTCCGGGTTCAATTGTGGGATGTGAAAGAAGAATGCTGCACACAACAATTTGGGAGGATAATGGTGAATTCTCCTATTGGCAAAGTGCTAGAATCGAACCTGTTTGCCTGTCAAGACACTGGGCGGTGGTTCGTGAAAGTCAAGGCTTTAATTGATTTTACGAAGCCTCTTCGATCCCAGATTATGGCCACTAATGATGATACAAGCTGCTTCTGGGTTAGCCTAAAGTTTGAGTATCTACCCAGTTTCTGCTATCACTGTGGTAGGGTGGGTCATCTGCTCAGTGCTTGTACTTTTGACCCGCCAGCTCGTAAGAAAAATTTCGGACCACACATGTCCACTCGAAAGCTGGGTAATCGGATTTATGATACGGATGACAGTAGCCTTCCTTTTTCGAGGGGTGGTAATACGTTATGGGTTAATAAAGCTTACAAGGAACAGCGAGATGGCAATGATGGGAGTGGAATGGCTGTCCATGGGGAGAGGCAGGAGCTACCTTTCCAGGTCAAGGCTCGCCAACAGCCCATTCCTCCTCGCATGGCAGCAGCTCCGGCGCCAGTAGGGAGGCAGCGTCGCCAGAGCTCGCGTGGCTTCAACCTGGCGAGGTCACCGAAGGTGCAGCTGGGTTGCACTACTCGGCCTCCCCGCCCACTGAACCAGCAGCCCGGCAAGAGTAATGATCGACATAATTAGGAGGAGGGGAGGAATCAGGATCGCCATGTCCTAACTCACCCTCAGGAAATGGCGCGGGCTGACTCTACTGCTCCTCTCGTTGATGGAGTCACTGATAAACTGTCTGCGGAACGCAAAAGCAGTAACCTTGCACCGGCTGAAATCTGACGTCGCCGACTGATCTTGGACCACTCGGATGAGGATACCCCGCTGATCCTTGCTCGTAGTCCTCCTGATGCGGCTCAAGGTGGGAAGAAGAAAGACCGCCGCCTGGTTAAATTGGGCGAGTTGAAATCGGCGGCGGAGATCCCTAAAGCACGTGCTGCTCCCCGCGCAACCCGGAAGAAACCTACTATTGATTTGAATCGGGCCGTGAAACTGGGTACCGTTCGGACTTACGGCGAACCGGGTCGATCTGGGAAAAAACCAGGCAACCGCAAGGGTAAGCATACCGAGAAGGAGCAGGGTGAGAAGGAGGCTATATCAGTTTGTCCAGGGGCAGAGAAGGGTAAAAAGGTGGTGGAGGAGTCTGATGCTCATGGGGTTTCGGATGGTTCTCAGTCTGATGAGGACGAACTCCGTTTCGTTATCAAAAGTAGGACCCAACCTAGTGCCCAGGAATAACATGTTCAAAGTGGGAAGGTGAAACAGGTGGTGGCTGCTTTTGAGGCGAATCTGGTCATCAATGAGGAAAATGACCATTTGGACCTTGCGGAAGGGGAAATGGTTTTAAAGCTGAACGAATATGGATCTAACCTTGATGATGGGACTCGTAAGCGGTCTTTGCAAGAGGTTGAAGGGGGATTTTAGGGTAGTTGACTCGCTCCTACCGTCACTCTAGAAAATGGCCAAGTGTAACCACTTCCTAAAGCGTAGTATAGTGGGTTTGGGTTTTAAGTGTCAACCCGGGTCCTAGATGTGATGACTACTCCGTGAGTTCTTATTATTTAGCTATGAAACTTTAATGCAGGTCCAAACAAGCAAACAAGCAAGCAGTTAAACGGTTGTTTTCAAGTCGAGAGTGGTCACCCGGATATGGTTCCCCCTAGACTGCAGTTAAGCTGGATTGTAATTTACCAAGTTCAATTTCAATGATAGTTATACTGCGGGAGGTTCTTAAACAGTCTGAAGTCTCGACTAAAGGTCTCCAAACCCTCTCAATCTGAGTCCCCAGCGGGCGACTAACCTCCACCGAAGTAAATAGATTGAGGCCCTAACGAACCAAACCTCCACTACCGAAGTAAATTCAGTACAGAATAGTGAATTGACTTCTCGACTAAAGTCGCCAATTCACTACCTTCAATCAAGGGTGCTCTATCAACCTAGGCAGATACTCTCTTTCTAGGTAAAAGCAGAAACAACAGGAATTTGATCATGATTCATGCCATTCAACAAATCAAACCTCAATTGAATATGATCATACCACAAAATCTGTACTTGGGTTCATACAATCAGACCTAACATACAGATCTAGGGTTCTTCATACCCAGGTGAATAAGAAAACTACTCCATAGAGAGAGATGATAAATCTAGCTTAGATGCGGAAACCATACTGTGAAGGATGAGAATCTGCTTCTGGCACTCAGTCGGGTCTTCTCCAAGCTCAAGCCGGGCTCCAATGGTGATGGAGATCGAGCTATGGCACTTGCAGAGTCAGGTTCGTCACTTTCTCTCTCTAGGTCACACTCTCTCTCTAAAACTCGGAACCCCTTTCTCCTTTTCTGAACATTGGGTTAAAACCCAGAAAATCCCGACTCACATGGCCAGGCCACACAGCCGTGTGACATCCTCAGCTGCCCGTGTGAGATGTGCAAACCGCGGCGTTTTGATAAGTGACTCAGGCTTCCTACACGGCCGTGTGGAATTTCAGGATGCCCGTGTGAGTTCCCTGGAATTTCCACACGGCCACAGGGGGTCCCCTACACGGCACGTGTGACTTTGCCTGTGCAATTTGGTGCCACACGCCCAGGCCACAAGGCCGTGTAGGTTTTAGGCGTGCTTGTGTGGCTCCATCAGCTTCACGCCACATGTCCAATCTTCGTCCAATCGACCCCGAACTCGTTCCCAAACCTTCATGCACTTACTAGGACCTGAAATATCACAAACAAGAACAACCTAGTGTGAAATCGGCCTAAAACACGAGAATCGACATCTCAAACGGCTCAAGAATAGGGGTAAAAACATGTTTAATTAATTGTCTATCAAACTCCCCCACACTTAACCGTTTGCTTGTCCCCAAGCAAACCTAGTTCAAACCAATGCAACTCTCCAGACCTCTATAGCAACAAACAACCCCGATCGTCGGTATAGGATTTTCTAGATCATATAGCAGCTTACGAGGTCAACAGGTTTTCTAAGACGTTCCCTATCTCTCTCAATGTGAGTACTAGACTCAAGCCAGGATCATGAGAAGCAG